TGTTCCGGTGAGGCACAACGCTAACAGGACGGTAGAGATGGGGGATAAGCACCAGGGACACACCGCTAACCCGGCCGAAGTGGTGGTTCGGCCGACGACTACCTGAGCAGGGCTAGCCACGTGTGCGCGACGAGCACGGCGACGAGCCGCGGCGGACACGACCGCATTAGCAGCAGCAGGGAGGCGGTAGCGCTCCCACTAGCATGTGCACGGTGGAGAGAGAGCCAAGGCAAGCTAGTGGTGCAGAGGAATTAGCGCGGGTAAAGTGCTAGAGGCTGGCCATGACGCGGGCGGCAACGGTTCATAACGGCACAGTGGCGGGCAAAGCTCCAAAAATTGGAGCTTGGCAGAGCCGCAATCAAAACAGGGTGGGGTCGGCTAGAGAGGGGACATAAAGGCAGAGACACGAGCATGAGGAATTGATGAGAGATGCTCGTTCTCTGGCTTCACCGTGACGTGACACGACGGTGATGGAAAACAGGAGGAGAAGAGGGAAAGAGAGAGACACCACGACAGGTGGGCTTAGCTCGTCCTTGCCTTGGCGGGACGCGAGAGGTGAGAACGGGAGGCCCATGCACCGGCACTACGGACAACATGCGCATGCCGCAGTGCCATAAATGGCATGGCGACGGTGGCTCGCCCACGTGCGAGCGCAGAGGCGACACACACAGGGCCAACAACTGCGTAGAGGTGCAGCGGATCAGCGCGGACGTGGTGACGATGCGACGGCAGCGGCAGCGTCACGACACGAGTAGTGACGGTAGTGCGGACATGACGGCAGCGCAGCGCGGCCACGACGGCACCGAAGACGGCAACGTGAGGCAGAGCAGCAGGGCGCGGGGCCAGCGGCTCGCTACGGCCGGCCTCGGCCAAGCCTAGGTGGCTTGACCGGCCAAGCGTGGTGGCATGGCTGACCACGCGGGACGCGGCCATGTGCGCGGCGTGAGAAGACCACGCGGTGACCGCGCACCCGGCGCCAACCAACCCGAGACAGTGACATGCACGAATTTTAAAGCGTTCAACACGATCAAATGGTTGCTTTAGGACCTAAACCATCTTCACCATGCTCAAGATGGCACATGAGACTACCAAATCGAGCTATAACACTACACCACTCCTTAACCCAACCTCTCACAATAAATTGCTAAACATAGCAGTGTCTAACTGTTGGCAGACTTAAAAATTTCTAAGTTTTTGAGCTGAATTTGATCTCCATTTATGATTTCTAAGCTAGTGGAAATATTAGCTAGTAATATCATTTTTCGACCGCAGTATTTCATTGTCATCTACAAAGTTTGTACTTCAAACTTTATTTAAGTATCACTTACATGTTCTATAGCATTTTTGCTTAATAAAAATAGGTTTTAAACCCTAAGTGATATAACACGACTATCGAATCAACTTTCATTTCGCATTTTTGTTGATCGTTTTGAGTTACGGAAATTGATCTACATACTTTATTACATGCATTAACACATAAACATGATGCTCATGACATGTTTTAGTAGATGATTTACTGTGTAACACCGAGGGTGTTACACATCCGACGCAGGCGGCGCCATGGAAGAGCAGCACCCAGACCCCACGCACGGACCTGCCACGGCCGTAGCTTGCCCTGGTGCTGTCTGGGGCGACAGGGCACCAGAGGACGCGGTGGGGCCGGCCTTCCCCGTTAGCCGGTAGCCGCCAGCGGAGGGGCCCGCGGCACCGCCTCCTGGCGCCGGCAGCATCGTGGAGGGGCCAGATCCGGCCCCCACGCACCCAGGCGCATCCGCGGCCGGCGCCAGCAGCTGATGAGACGGAGGGGCGCCGATGGAAGCACCGGCGGCGACGGATCCGCCAGCACAGGGACCGCACGCTCTCTTTCTGGTCTGCTCCGTCGTGGGTGGCGGTGGCGTGGGTGCACATCGAGGCATCACGGCCGCGCCATCATCGGCACCGGCAGCCTCGGAACCTACCGACTCCGTCGCGGGCACGCATCCGGAGCGGGGGGGGGGGCGTCGACAGTGGAGGCCGCGTCCTCAGATCCCACACGAGGGAGAAGCGGAGAGGGGTCGGCGGGCGCAGCGGGGAGAGGAGGCACTGCGACGGCCGGCGGCGGGGAAGGCGCCGCCAGGTGCGGCTCGCCGCGCGCCCCAGCCCCGTGGACCACGTGAGGAAGAGAAGGATAGGGGGCGGAGGAAGCAGAGGAGGGCGGGGAGGAAGGGGAGGGGGAGGGCGGTGCTGGCGCCGACACCAGGGCGGTGGCCGGCGCCGCCGGGGCGGCGGCCTGAAGGGGCCCGCCGGTGGCAGCTAGGGTTTCAGGGCTGGGTCGCTCCGCCATGGGCCTAGCGAACATGTGAGCTTCTATTTCAGGTATGTCGCACTAGCTACTGTGAAACAGTTGAATTACTAATATAGCTAAATTGATTAAGTTATGGTCCATTGAAGGAAGCTCAAATTCTTTACAATTGTTTTTAGTGTAAATTAGCAGATAAGATATGGTTGTGTGTTGCGCGGGACATATAGCTTGTACCATCTATTTCAATATGTCTTGGAATAGAACTCTTACCGTAGCTAGACACGCACAATTTTAACTCTTATAAGCATGGATCAGATAAAGCTCTACCCATTTATAGATCAGCACAATACAGAATGTAAGGGTCTGTTTGGATTCTCTGGTCTAAACTTTAGTTGTCTATCGCAAAAAAAAAGTTGAGGACTAAGACTTTAGACCACTTTAGCTCACTTATGTGGTCTAAAGTTTTTGTGAGTTGGTCTAAACTTTAGACAACACTACCTCCGGTTTAGAGCCTTAATAGTTAAAGTGCTCTAAAGTTTAGTGGCTAAATTTTAGTCCATGGGATCCAAATAGGGCCCAATTAAAACTTTGCATTTTTGCTTCTTCTTATCTCGGTTGGAGAGATGGCATGCCCATCGATAGGGAGGAAATCGTGATGGCATTGATAATCTCGAGATCCATTAACACTGTTTTATGGATATGCTCATAAAGGTTGGTTATGCGTGTGTGTTGTTAGGAATGAGTGTACTTTATGTTTGTGAGTGTCCGCATCTATACTATGATTAAAAATAAACTTGCAAAGGACAAAAAATGGAAAAAGAGACCAAATGGTGAAGAATTCAACATGAACCTTGAGAACTGATATGCAAATTTAAATTTACAAATACTACATCAAGTAAGCTTTACACGCCCTGAATCCTCATGTTTCTCGCTCTCTCTAGTATTGAATCCTCATGTTTCTCGCTCTCTCTAGTATTTGAACATCATCAGTGCTTAGTATAGTAACTAACATATTTGAACTATCAATTTAGTAAAGCCAATTATTAATTATAGGAGATTATTGGAAAGAGAAATGTAACACGTTTTGTAAAATAATGTTGAATTTTTTTTTTTTTTGAAAAAGTTCAGATTGGACAAAGATTTTTGTTTTTTTGCTGGACCATAAGAGGACTTGTATTTGAAGTGAGGCACCAGGGTTGATTAAGCTCTAGCTTTTCCCCTCTGCCCTTGAATCCAATGGGGGCCGCCCCTGACTGCGAATAACCACCAAAAATCAACGAGCAATGCCAGTAGTTGGAAATTCGTCAAAACTTTGCTAAGGCGACACACACCTTCATGTTGTGTGTGACCCTATGATGGTTGTGGTGTGGTGAGGGCACTCCTAATGCAGAAACCATCATAGTTTCTATGGACATTAATTGTACCGCCATCTAAGGGTTTTGCTAATGTGGCAAGGTAGTTATTGAAGAGAGAGAGCAAAAATTATAGAAACTGGGTCTAAGTTAGAAACCATGTCTACACGAGAACCAAGACATGAAGGGATGTGATCGGTAGAGAATGGAGAGAGAATGTATATGATTGAATAAAAAAATTGTTCTGTAGAAACTATCCATTGAGACAATGATTTCTATACGTAGTGCCTATGAAAATTAACTGGTATAAAAACTATATATAGTTTCCAGTATTGGGACCGCCTCGAGAGCTGTTAGGAAACACGTAACTCTTGCACTTGCAGTCATGCATGGTTTGGAGGTGAGCTATGCATGCATTTGACTTAAGGTCACCGTTAGATCGAGTTGACTTAAGGTCAACAACGAACCACGACAACAACATGTGTGAGGCGAGAGAAAACTCGGACAGACATTTGGTAGCATCAGCATGCATGAGGATCAGCGAAGATAGGGACGGACGTGTGCACTGCAGCTGTGCATGATGCATGGCCTTTTTCCTGATTGATTGAATGATGCATGACCTTGACCGAGGGAGCCTACCGCGTACTTTTATTATTGAATTGTTTGGATGATACGAGATTCCAATCATCCGGTAGCCACTTTTCTCCGATCGAAATTTTGGAGGCAGACAAACACGACTGTGACTCCGACTGACTTCCATCCGTAAGTTGTGCGCAAGTAACTAAACCATGAACAAGAAGAATACTCCGTATACATGGGCTGGTTTGGAGAACATTTTACCAAAGAAAGGAGAAACCAGTCAGCCAGCCAGCCAGCAGGTCACCACAAAAAGGATAAATATTCATAACACAAGTGCAGATCTGCCTACAAAAAGCAAAGCCAGCAGCACTAGATCGATTATATTACTGCTGCATCCGAAACTGACCAGAGATTATTCTTACGCGTTCTTCTTCTCCTCCTCTGGATGCATGACTGGGTCTTTACGGCTCCCAAACGTACTGGAACGATTCAGGAAAGTTCACGCGCTGCGGCTGGATTGCATGCATCCTCCGGACAGCGGACGGGAGCATACATGCTGCAGCAGCGCACTTGCACTGACGATGCACTGCACACTACTATCCTTCCGATCCGAAGCCAACTACACTCTCCGGCCACTTTAATTGCATTCTTGGACGAGAGAGATCAGAGGGACAGAGAGTTTAGAAGGCACAGGGAAATGGCGTGGAGACCGCCGCCGTGTCCATGTGGCAGGCTCTTCTTCTTGGTGTGCCTCTTGTGCTTGCTGCTCACCGAGGCCGCCGCCGGCCATGGCGCAGGGGCGGCTGAGCAGCAGGCACCTGCTCCAGCTCCCACTCCTAGCCTCTTCCCACCTGAAGGTGCGTCGCGTGCCTTCTTCTGTTGACTCTTGCTCACCATGATTGGTACGTACGCTCCCCATTCCTCTTCAACTCAAGTGCGTGCACCACTTTAATTTTTCGCAGACCGTGTCCTTCGCCGGATCGCTGCCAAGCTCGGCGTCCTGCACTGGGACTTCGCCGCCGCCGCCGCCGGTCCATGCCAAGACCCTGCCGCCGGCGTCGATTGCCACTGCACCTCCTCCGACTATACAGTCTGCCATGTCATTCACATGTATGCATGCGTGCTTTAGTTTCTTGTGTTTCCTTTTTTTTTCGACAACGTACTTTAACTTCGATGCGTTGTCATGTACAACTGTACGTGTACTTTACCTTCGCTGAAACATCATGCAATATGATACAGAATGAATCCATGACAGCTTGTAGTAAGTATTGTACCGTCGGTTTTGCAGAGACCTCAGGAGGCACAACTTCTCCGGCGAGCTCCCACCGGACTTTGCCGACCTCCCCTATCTTCTACACCTGTAAACAGCGCACCTTCAACATGTGCCACAAACACATTAGTACTCCTATCTGTTAAGAGAATAAATAATAGCAAAAAAAAAACATAAGTCCTTATTTTTTTTCATGTTTCAGAGATCTAAGCCGGAGCTTGTTTCATGGTGGAGTGCTCAGCCAGTGGGCCCGGATGAAGTTACAAGGACTGTGAGTGCCCTTGCACTTTCCTTAATTACCCCGGCCCATTCTTAATTTCCTACAGTGGTTACTGGTAGAGTGGTAGTAGAAACAAAATAATGTGCTAGCATGTGGAGCTACCATGGAGCCTCAGGGGAGGAAGAATATTCGTGCCACTGGGTGTTGATTTTCCTGCAATTTGTAAAAGCCTGTGTCATTGTCTTGTGATCTGGCCTAGGATGTTTTAGACAAAGGAAAACAAGCTAGATTTAGCATGCTTAATTAATTTGTTTGTCCAAAACGCGATGTATTCATGACTGGATGGAGTACATTTTAAAGAAAAATGAATTGCATGTGCATAATAAGATTGCAATACAGCACTACCAAATAGTATACAAGTCTTATTTAACAATTGCATGTAACTTACGGATGATTCATGATTGTCAATCAGAATGTAGTTGCACAAGCAGAGTCCCATATTAACCTTCGCCTGAGAGGCTTCGGGATGCCATACTTACAAAACTTCTCAATAAGCAATATAGATCAGAATTATGTATGTTTCGTATATATTGTACAACAGAATTGCACAGCATATGTGTTGACCTGTTGTATCCATGCAGATTACTGATGGGAAACAGATTGTCAGGGCCTTTTCCCATGGTTCTCACAAGTATCACAACCCTGACTCACCTGTAAGTGAAAAGTCTGGTGGAAACAATTTCTTGTTAACTAGTTTACTTTCCAAGTTCTGACTGGTAAATTAATTTGCAGGGACATTGAAGGCAATGGTTTCTATGGGCCAATCCCTCCTGAAATTGGACATCTTACTCATCTGGAGAGGCTGTGAGTGTGTTTGATGATTCATACAGCACTAAGGAAAATATACTCATTGGTAGAGTTTGTGCATGTAACTTTTGCTTTCTGATGACTTGTGCACTGATCCTGAAATTCAGAGTAATATCAGCCAATGAGTTCACGGGACCCCTACCGCCTGCTCTATCCTTGTTGGCTAATTTAACTGCTTTGTAAGGATACCTTCATCTTTCCTTTTTCCCACTCTGTTTCACTTTGGGAAGTCCTTTTGAACTATTAGAACTGGTTACAGGAGGTTTTCTAGCAACAATTTATCTGGAAGACTGCCTGATTTTTGGGAAAATTTGGCAAGGCTCCAAACATTGTGAGTCAGTGAATTCACGATGATAACTACCAACAGAAAATACCACAGATCAATATCTTCTTCTTTTTTATTTAGTGTAACACCTCTTGGTGCAGGCAAATCGAAGGATCTTTGTTGGAAGGCCCTATTCCCCCCAGCCTATCTAAATTGACAAACCTTCATGATCTGTATGCCAGCACAATGCTGAAAACTCTTATAACTTCACACATAATGACATAATTATATTTTCTTACTATGTATAAGTTTGCACAACCCGTACAAGTCCTAAGTAAATGGCTCTGTTTCTGTGTAAAACAGGAGGATTAGTGATCTGAGAGGTAGTGGTTCACCTTTCCCTGATTTAAGTGGAATGTCATCCTTGAACAAATTGTAAGTTCGTGGTTTACTGAAGTTCAACCTTTCCGTATGCTGGCTGTCATATGCTACAAAATTAATCACTTGTAGCGTACTAAGGAACTGTTCCATCAGTGGAAGCGTCCCGCCTTATATTGGCACATGGACAACTCTGAAGCATCTGTAATAAATGGCAAGTTACTTTTTTTGAAACGACAAATGGCAACTTACTAAGTACCCTTTTTTAAAAAGTCACATATTTTACTATCGACATTGTCTATGCAGGGATCTGAGCTTTAATAAATTGAGTGGACAAATACCAGCTTCTTTTGCTAACATGGGAAGGGTTGATTACATGTAAGTTGTGGTGTTTTGCATAAACTGAACTCTTACAGGACATTTCATTGTGCTCCTTCCTTACATGTGCCTCTACCAAAATTGTCCTGCAGATATCTAACTGCAAACTCACTCACTGGAGACATACCTGGATGGTTATTAAGAAGAAACAAAATGGTGTAAGTTATTATCTATTTTGCTCGCTATTTTTTTTTAATACGCAGGAGAGGTGTGTATCATTGTATTAAGAGAGGAAAAAACGGTCCCGTATAACTATAACTATAAGCCATAGGAGGGTCTATTTGCAACCCCCCACCCCCACCCATTCCGGACTGAGCCATAGGAGGGTCTATTTGCTAAACTGTAGCAAAAACCGTGATTTCACCATTAAACATATATCCATTAAAATATGGCGCATGTCTTTCTTTTCTTGGGCATTTTAATTTTAGGATTAAAGTTAAGAAAGGACGACTTCAATATTCTAAGATGTTGGTGTGTTAATACAATGCCCAATTACCGGCCTTCATACATGATTGTAGAAAATTGATAAAAACTTTTCCTAGTTTCTTAAAAGCATCCATAATTGTGATAATAGAAATAGCCCCGAGTCGGTTTAAGTTTTACTTCTTGTGTCCACCCTTGTTTAACTAGGGCATAGAGAAGAATTGCCCGATACCCAAATGTACATGTAACTAAGAGTTTCAACAATATAACTGTTATTATTGAACTTACAAGTCATACTTTCAATTAGCACAGTAGAAAAATAACAGAAAACGACCATATGCAGAGACATATCTTTCAATAACTTCACGGTGGGGAGTTCAGGTCCTAACCAATGCCTTCCAGGGAGTGTGTAAGAAACCTTTAGCATGGCATCCAATCTTCTTGCTTTTTGGTACCCTTATGAGAATACATAACCCTTTCCTTTGAATCCTTCGATTGCAGCAATCTAGTGGAGAGCTATTCATCTCTGACATGAACAGTTTGTAATATTCTTTAGCTTGTTGCTTCAATACAACTAGAAACTTTATAGCAATGGACCTGTCTAGATGAAATAAAATGCTCGAACACTGGTCGCTTTTACCTTATGTGCAGAAGTAGTGTTCAGTCATGCTTGAAGAGGAATTTCCCATGTGTTGCTTCGAATGGACAATGTAAGTTGATGCTTAGTGTTGCTTCACAGTTATTTCTAAAGCATTGGTATACCATAATGCATTCGTATAGATAAACAGAGAAGAAAATGATTTGTTTACATGAATTTCACATGGATACCGATAACTGTGACAAGGGTAGCATTGATAACGACTAATGATGTTTGGATAAGTTACAATTGCTATTGCTTGTAGGATTATATAAACTCCAAATGGTAAACTCAAAATAAATACACCTACCGTCATTGAATTTCTGGCTGCTTACACAAAGGTACATTAATTTTAATCTACGTAAAAAGCTCAGTTCATAGTTAGTTTTCTTCTTGTTTTAGCACTGAAGCTACATGGAACATATACCTACAATTTTTCACAGATCGATCTTCATTGCATATCAATTGTGGTGACAAAGAAGCAACTATTAATGGAGTTAAATACGAAGCTGACACAACGCCAAAAGGTGCTTCATTGCTGTATATAAGCCCAGGTTCAAATTGGGCATTCAGCAGCACTGGTAACTTCATGGACGACAACATCACGGATGACAGCTACATTGCAACAAGCACATCAAAATTGGACATGCCCTATTCAGAGTTGTACACCAAAGCCCGTCTTTCTCCTCTTTCCCTCACATATTATGGGCTTTGTATGTTCAGTGGGAGCTACACAGTTAAACTCCACTTTGCTGAAATTGTGTTCACCAATGACAGCACATTTTGTAGCCTTGGCAAAAGAAGATTCAATGTGTTCATACAGGTAAACTAGTTTTTTTACCTGCTTTCTTACTAATAAAACATTTCCCTTTGTTAGCACTGATGCTAACAATAGGCCCTTTAACTTCAGGGAAGAATGGTGCTAGAGGATTTTGATATCGAGCAGTTGGAAAGCCAGTTATCAAGACTTTTCAAACATATATCACAAATCATACTCTAGAAATTCAGTTGTATTGGGCAGGAAGAGGGACAACAGGCATTCCATATAGAGGTTCTTATGGCCCACTGATATCTGCAATATCAATAACACCAAGTGTGTCCTGACTCTTAAACTTGTCAATTTTGTAACTGTTATGGGCATGGAAGCATTTAGCTGTGCAAATTATACTTTTGAAACAAAACTGTTATTTTCCTTACTGACCTGGAAGTTTGGATATTTTTTGAGCATGTTCAGATTTTATTCTTTGTCGACACAGAATTTTCGCCTCCGTGCCGAGGACACACGCAGCAAGCCGGAAGGGTCCGCTCGATGGAGCAGATCCGTCTAGCTTCAGCGCAAGGGTGGTCGATCCTACGCAATTCTCCCGAGACGTGCCAGTCAATTTGACCCTGCAATTGACAAGGAGAGAGAGCTTATCAGTAATTAATGGAACGTGCCGATGTTGCCAGACAGTCCCGAGTATGCGGCTCTGAAAGCCGATATGAGAGGAAATCAACTAAATAGCCGATCCCAGCATGTTCACAAGAATGAATCGATTAAAGCTCATGAGATTGTATAAGAAGAATCGGTTATCATTCAGGATAAATGTTATTTAAGCAAATATTAATCAATGACAATAAGATATCAATGATGATCGGTTTATACTGAGCCAATGATTGCAAGTAACCGAACTCCTTTTATTTAAAGAAACAATTCAACACCTCTTAACCATCTAATAAAGATAAATCTAATGAACATGTTAGATCTCATCTATCGCCATGACCAGTGAGGCATGAGGCAGAATCATGCAGGCCGTAGAAACAATAATAGACTCGACGACCCTAACTCATTACTAATATCAGTGGGGCATGAGGTAGAATCATGCAGGCCGTAATACAATAACAAGATCCTGGGGCTAACATATCTTTCAACTTATCTCTACTTTAATGATCTTGTGATGTGAACTGTTCGTGAAAGCATTCGATATCGGCTAAACAACCGATTCAGACATAGCGCATAGTTAAGGTCATGCTTCTCAGGAACGGATCTACCAACTAACGATCCCCACTCCACGGTGCAAACAGTGGGGTGAGAGGCAGAATCCCATAGGCCATGATGACGGGCCATGGAGCGGTTTTCGTTAACTAATAGATCTACTCAAGATCAGACATGCCTTAACCACACGCTATGCACGATTAAGATTGACGCAAAACAGCTGATAAAAAACATAACTCATCGCTTAAGATGTAGATTAGATCAGTTTTAGATTAGCAAACGATGAGTTAAACAAGATATAAGGACGATCCAGATCAATCTCAATCGGGCAGAGTGATATTGCTGTAATTAGATAAACAATGAAAGCAATAAGCAATATTGGTAACTTAATGAATCTACCAAAGACTGCCATACTAAGGTAAAGCCGATAACTTGACCTTGATCTAATTCAAGCAGTGGGGTGTGAGGCAGAATCACACAGGCCATACTTGAATTAGACAAGAGTCGATAACTAGCCTATACCAAAGTCGTAGTGAGAGTCGACCGGATCGATGCAGCCATACGAACAGAGGTATAAACCATGTCGGTACTTACAGACAAGCAGTGGAGGTCGATCGGATCGATGCAGCCGTACTTGCTGAAGAACTCACAGAGATCTACTATACCCCTACTCCTAAGGGGTGGTCGGAGCCGAAAAAAAGTAATTGACTTTTTATTTGATTGATTGTTGTCTTTACAATAACCAGGGTTTGGTATTTATACCCGGAGTCTAAACATGAATCTTACTCGAGTACGACTCAATACAATCTTTGGTATAATGAAAACATTTCTAATTTAAGATAACTTGGACTCTAATCTTTCCCTTTTCGTAGAGTCCAGCATGTCTCGTCCCAGCGCCGATCGTAGCCTCTGTCGTCATCACTGACGCTATCTGAAGAAAGCCGATTCTAATGCATCCGAATCAACTAGCTCCGATCTCCACGCAGCTAATTCCTTGATGATGACATGATTTTTGGGAGCTTCTGAACCCCGTAACTCTTCTTCCAAATTCTGGTGTAAACACATGCCCCCCAATTTTGGAATAAAAGTAATTTTATTCCAAAATTATCATGTCTTCATCTTCGATGGGTCTGCAGTCACGGGTAGAGAATCTTGATCTGGGGTCTACCGTTTGTCGCTGCCTATGTCAGCTCATGAGCCCATGCTTCACAACTTTTACGAGAGCATCATCGCTTCACGGGCACTTGGATTCATCCTCCCAGACCGGCTATAAAATGCCTATCCGCCCCCGGTGAGAGCAGCTTAACGATTCAGCTATGTTTCTCTTCTACCTGCCCTCTCGAGCTCTGACTTCGCCGGACCCTCCATGGTCCATCTGTTTTTGCTATGAAGGTTTTGAGTGGCTAGAAGAATTCTTGTGTATAGGATGATTGTGTCGCTCATTCTAGCGCCTTGTCGAGCAAGAGGATCAGGTATTGCGGCTAGAAGAAGTCTTGTGATACCACCTAAGTCTTCTCTCCATGCTCGCAAAGCTGTTCTAGTGTTTGCAAGGGCTAAAATATGTGGACACATTCTCCTTGTTTGCTTCATCAAACGCCCGCTGGGAGAACCACAGGCTTCTTTCCCGTAGTTCCCGATCTGCCAAGCGGGCGGCCTTTCCCCTTCTCCTGGTATAATTCCATTATCCAGCCGATGTGACCTGGTTCATGATGACCTTCGGCCTTGTGGGGGGCCCGGACTCCCTTCAATCCAAAGAAGTCTTGGTGGGTTGATTTCTGGTTAATGTAAATTCTTCGCATCCATCCCACGACGTTTCGTAATCTGGGGAAGCAATAAGTCCGAATCTGTTATCTCTTCGTTATCTCTCCCCTGAAATTCCGGAGTGCCGGTCCATTTCCGTATCTATTTTTAGTTTTCATACCCTCGGCGAAATCCATCTCCTCGCCTCCTCGGGCTATATATGCGGGCCACGGCTGGGGCTCAGAAAACTATCTCAAACCTTCCGCGTCTTTAACATAGTCCCTGCTTTTCTGTAGGTTTGAGATCATGGAGAATAGCAAGAGGCTTGCTGAGGAAGTTCTTAACGGGTCCGCATCATCGCGCCAGCGTCTTCATCGTCGAGAAGGTGCTACTCAGGATGTCTCCATTGCCCCGGAGCACAGGGTCGACTTGGTTCAACCTTCGAGATCGTCTTCAACACTGACTCATCGCCAGCTTCCTAATTGTCCGAGGAGGCAGATCGATAATGACGATCTAATCGCTTCCATTGATCGGACTGATCAAAGTTTAACCAACTGTATTTCCCTCGTGGAGTCGGCTCTGGCCATGATTCAAATCCGATCATCCTCCGAGGCCGATCTGAGGGAATGGTTGGCCAGGGCTGAAGTCAGAATCACAGGTAAGACGGCTACCACAATCTCTTTCGCTTTTTCTTAACTTTGCCTCCGAGACCTCCTGATCAATCCTTTCTTTGAATTTTTTCAGATCTAACTGCCCAGTTGGAAAGCCTTCGATCAGCCGCAGATCACGTGGCGGGATTTGTCAATGCCAGGGGCTCCGTTCTGGTAATCCGCTTGCATGACATTCCAAACCGCGTCAGGGAGGTTGCTCTCCATGGCGTTCGTCATGGTGCTGCCACAGCGTTGGCTACTGCATAAGCCCGCTCAGGTCACAATCTTTGACTTCTTCCTCATGGTTTCTCGGATGCAGTGCCTCCCGAGGATCATGGGCGTTTGATTGAGGAATTCTTTAGTGCCGTCAACTCTGTAGCTTTCAATACTTTGGCCGACGATGTAGTGAGCAAATTGTTTTCTGGCCCGTAGCTTGTAATAGGTGATTTTTAGCAAACAATTCCTTCGTCTCTTATTTCATATTATACGTATCACTTCATCCATGTTTGATTTCCCCCTATAGGCGATACGCATCGTACCGGCTTCTTTTCCTTTGGGTTCATTTTTTGTACTAGAGGCGATACCTTTCTGATATCGGCTATTAGAGTTGTTGACCGAACAAATCAGCTACTTAAGTGTTAATCCAAACGCTGGGATAATATTTCTTTAGATATTTACCATTGATTGCTCGGCTGAACTCTTCTCCTCCTCCTAGTGTCTCCAAAATATAAGCATTACCGGGCACACAACGTTTGATCCAATAAGGCCCTTCCCAATTGGGTGACCATTTGCCAAACTTACTGTCCTTTGACCCGATCGGCAATTTCACTTTCCACACCAAATCTCCTTCAAAAAAGTGCTTATTCTTGACCCTTTTATTGTAATATTTTACGACCCTCAGTTTATTAGCTTCAATATTTTCAAGAGCGCGCAGCCGAAGGCAACTTAAGTCTTCTAAGTCGTCCATCATAAGATTTTTGTAGACTTCGGCTGTCAAATCATTTTGTAACATAACACGTCTTGATCCGGTCTGAACTTCCCAAGGAAGGACTGCGTTATGGCCATACACAAGCTCATAAGGTGATGTTTCAATCGATCCATGATAGGCCATCATGTATGCCCATAGTGCCTCATTAAGCGTCGAAGGCCACTTCCTGGGCTGTTCCTCAATTTTCTTCTTGATCAGCTTAATCATAATCTGATTGGACACATCTGCCTGACCATTAGCCTGAGCATAGTAAGGAGACGAATTTAGCAGCTTGATCCCTATACTGGCAGCAAAATCTCGAATTCCTCTGATATGAACATGGTCCCTTGATCGGTAGTGATGGTTTGAGGAATTCCAAAACGATACACAATATGCTCCTTGACAAAATCAACCATGTTTTTTGAAGTTACCATTTTTAAGGGGACTGCTTGAACCCACTTGGTGAAGTAATCTGTTGCTACCAATATGAACTTATGTCCCTTGCTCGAGGGTGGAAAGATCTGGCCAATTAAATCAATTCCACAGCCCCGAAACGACCATGGCTTGATTATTGGGTTCATGGCCGATGCAGGCGACTTCTGGATATTATCAAAACGTTGACAGTCTTGGCATCCCTTGTAATATTCAAAACAATCTTTTAATATTGTTGGCCAGAAATATCCAGTTCTGTGGATAATCCATTTCATCTTATAAGCCGATTGATGAGCTCCACATATCCCTTCATGCACTTCGCCCATCAA